TTCAGATTAATAACACCAGGTTTTGTTTTGAACCACTACTTTTGCATCACTTTGATCTGCTGTGAGCCACAGGCATCCAGAGGAAGTTTCTTGAGAACAGTGAATGCAGCTGGACCTGTAGTGAGGGCAGGGACATCAGGCACAAGTGTCAGCCTCCAGAGCCAGCCGGTCAGCGTGTGACCGGCACTCAGCCACCCTTGAAAAACACCTGGTGGGAGCGTGGGTGAAGGAGATGTGGAAGTGCCCAAGGCTCCAGCCCCATGCTGACTCTGATGCTTTGCAGATCACAAATCCTGCCTACATTTTCACAGAGTTTCTAACTGACAGTAATGCTGAATCCTTGTAATTTCAGTTTTTGAGCAGGTAAGCGCCTTTTGTTGAACCTAACTGATTTCCTGAACAAAGGAGCTCCCTTCTAGTTGCCCAGGAGACACAGCTGTGCATCAGCAGTGTTATGGTGAAAGAAATAGGTGGCTGTACACAAAGGCTTAAATTATAAGCCTTAAATTAAAGTTGATTTTTGAGTGAACTTCCCAACCTGTACCACATCAGCATGAAATAAGACCATGAGACTTTTGCTCCTACAATTCAATGCCAGGTGCAGAACACCAAAATAGCAGCTTCTCAGACATATCTCAGATCCTGGCCAAATCCAGGATGTGCCCATGCGAAGTGAAACTTACCCACCAGATGTTCCCGTGCCTTTCTGTCTGTGTAATGTGTTTGTTAGATTGTACAAAGGCAGGACCCCCTCACAGCAAAGATGGTACCTCACCTGTAAGTGGGTGCACTGTGTAGGCCTTCTCAGTTGCCAGGGAAAGGCTCTCAAGATCCTTCACTGTGATGGGGCTTCCAGCTGATGTACAGGATGCAGATGATGATAAGTATTTGGGCAATTGGTGAGGTATGTTTCCTAATCACTCTGCTTTCTCTTATGTAGTAATGGTTAGGTGCATTACCCTGTTTAACTCTGTACCTTGCTGCTTCTTTTTTTTTTCCCCTATTTTAAACTGGAGTAAAGTAAGTTTGTTTTAGTATTAAGTTGGTGTCTGTCCTTTTTGCCAGCCCCGTCAATTGGCAAAAACAGTGGCAAAATGCTGTGAGCTAGAACAGACTCGTGAAATGTAAGGGGGCTTATTTTGTTACAGAACAAGGCAACTGTTTTGTTCTTTGGATTTTTTTAATCACATGCTTTGGTTCCAACATCCAAGCAAGATTTTTTCTGTGGAAATTCAGTAGCTCCTCAGGGAGTATGTATGTGATGGTGATGTGAAGATGTGTGGTTGTGTTTTGCTGAGGCTGTGTCTTCAGTGAAAGTGCAAAGGAACTTTGAATGAATGCCGTACATCGGCATACAGCAAGTGTCCTGACTGCAGTGGAACTAAGCAAATGTTTGGCTATTGAGTCCCTTGAACAAGGACTGCTGCGACATTTGCTGTTGTAGCAGAAATGAAAGGTCCAAGTTCTCAGTAAAATTTTCAAAGTTCCCCTAATGACTTAATAATCCATATTCAATATTCAGTCGTTTGGACTTCCAAGCAAGTACTGGAGTGATTGTTTAAAAATTACTTTCCTAAATTACAGCAAAATCTCTGTCTTGTTGTGTTAGTTGATGGTGATGTTGCAATATTGTAGGAATGGATAAAATGTGTTTTGTCTGTATCTTCTGAAGTGTTTTAAACAAAAGTGCCTCAGTTGTCCATTTTGTGCTGAAGTGGACTGCAAAATAGGTAGTGTACTTGATACTTGTTAAGAGTGTCCTCTTGAAGAAATACTGCTGTGGGCATTTATCTGTTTATCAACTGATTTAAATCACAAGTACAAACTATTTTTTACAGGGCTACACATAAGATGATAGAATACAAGCATGGTTTTAATCTGTAAGATAATATTTTACCCGCAGGTCAATTTAAAATATGATCAATAAAAAGTCATATATGTGCATAATGAGCAAGTACATTATGAGATGGTAATTCGGTTCATGTAACTCAGCTGGTTCATCTCCTACTGCCCACTCCAGAAAGGTAATTTGTGTACCATCTTCAGACTAAAAGAAACAAAACTAAAACACACACAAAAAAATAGAGAAACCCAAAAAATATTTTTGAAAATTGAAATAATCAAATAGAAACAAGGAGATACAATGTGAAAGAAATTATTACCAGGTTGTGCAATGTTCTCAATTCCGAAATAAGATACAGTATTATAGGATAAGATACTAAAATATTTCTAATAATTAATATATATATAATAATGAAATAATATCCATATTACTAGATATGCAAAGCAACATACTGAAAGAGCCTAGTTAGAAGGACTAACTGCCACCATACCACAGTCTGTTTCAGTTTGAGCTTATTTTTATGTGCCACTTAAGAGCCAAAAGGTGCCTTTCCCAGTACTAGGTGAGAATACAAGATTTCACACCTCTTTTTCTAAACCAGTCCACAATGAAAAATGAATTTATATTAGTACATAGGGTGAGCTCTCTAACGATAAGCAATAACCTGCTAATTATCTCTATTAAGCTTAATTGCATTTGATTGTTCTATTTCTGTACTGTTTTGCCAACAAACAGAACTGAGTAATTCCCCCAGCCAGAGCCATCACTCTGCCCAGAAAGATCCTCAGACTGAACCACAGCTGATTTGACATGAAAAAAAGCTGGTGGAGTTGCACTATGAATTGGGCTTGCTCTATCCAGGAAGATTAAATTATTACCTCCAGGCCACTTTGTGAAAGGCGGAGGAGACTGAGCTAATAAAAACAGCTCAGCCCTGAGGGTTTGCATGTTGACTACTTTTTTTGCACAAGCTGAGCTTCTCAGAGTCACAGCCAAGCCTGCTCATTTGTTTGCAGTGACTGATGAGTATCTTTAAGAAGATAAAAGAAAAAAATGCAAACCCCCTTGTCTTCTACCATGTTTTCTGTGGTGACAATGTGCTGAAAAAAAGGGAATTAAAAAATCACTTCCTATTATTAAAAAATGCAAATGACTGACAATTTCCCTCTCATTTTTCTAGTAGTAATATTATATGGGGCAAACAAGCTGAAACAAAACGTTCATCCGTAGAGTCAGTGTGTCATAACAATCCCCTTTAAAGATCATCTTGCTCTTACTGCCTTGCTATCACTACCTCAGTCTCTCTCCCAAAAAAAAAGCATCTGGATAGATCTTAAAAATATCTAAAACAGTTGCTGTTGGTCTGTCTAGTAACTGCATTCTAAATGTTTATTGTTCTTCTAAAGCATCAGTTTTGTTTGCAGGAATGTTAATTATCTAACTTACGGATGGAGTCTGTTGGGGTCTTGTTAGTCCTTCCGCAGTTCTTACAGTTTACTTCAATCAGTAATAACCAACCATGCTGGAAATGTGCTCTGCTAGGTCCTTCTATTGACCCTTCTCTTCTGTAGGGCACTACTGAACTATTCAACTTTTCTCTATTCAGACTCCTAAAACCTAGACTCACCTCGGTTCAGCTAGCTCAGATTTCTATTATCATTTCTGTGGGGTGAAAAGAATGAAACTTGATGAAAGGGGTCAAACCATTGATTTGTGTAAACCATTAATGGCAACTTCATTAACTTCTATGCAACTATGTCAGTTTACATTTGCTGCAGATCTGCCCCAGAAGTGTTCCAGGAGGGTACACAGAGGACATAGTCCTGCACAGGACCACCACCATTTGTTTTGATGTGTATTTAATCCCTGCACTGACTGATTTCAGCAAAGTTGTTTTTTCATTAAGCTCCCAAGTCTCTCCTCAGTCCTGCTCTGTTCTCTTTCTCTGCTTTCTCTCCTATTTGCAGTTAATATTTTATCAGAGTTTTCACAAATAAGAATACACACATATAAAACAAGCTACAACAACAATGAGGAGATACCAGAAGATAGTAGTACTTCTGCCCAGCTTCTGTCTGTTGTGATTCTGATATCATTAGAGTTGTCCAAGTCTTACATCTACCCTTATCGGATAAGGCAGCTAAAGCATGATGTTGCCATTTCATCTTTCTCATGGTCATCTCAAGAAAAAGGTCTGATTGTAGCAAAACAAATTCTGCTTGAGATTAGCAAACAGATTATCCTGGCATAGTCCTGTGTTATCTTTCTGGGTTTATACATAACCTGTTAGTTTAACAGGACACATTATCAGCTCCATCTGGCAAGCTCACCTTCCCTCCCATTCTCCCACCTATCTTTCTGTAGTCAAACAGAGTGGAAAGGATTTGTGCAATGTAATAGTCAGATGCCTTTGGTCCCAGGTGTAATCACTGAGGCCTGTGAGAGCACTCCTTTGCTACAAATCCAGAGCAGCCAGTGTCTGGTCCCTTTTTCCAGTCTCTTGTGTCTGTGTGTATGGACATACACAAAATACAATGAGAACAAATAGCCTGAAATGTGGCCATTCTGTTCTCACTCCTGCCATGTATCTGTCTGTCACCAACTGCTAATAACTTTTTATTGTATATACCAGATTATGGTTTGCTGCCTCAATTTTTTTTTTTAGCATTTGTTTGTAGAAAACCTCAATTTATCTTTCTATCTGTTGTATAAAAAAATTGTGATCCTTCCTGC